ATTCTTAGATATTTTCATTTTATTTTAAAAATAAAATTCTTCTTCAAATCAAAAAGTTGAAGTTTTAGAAAATCTTATTATAACAAAAATTATAAAAATATAATCCAAAGAAATATTTAGATTAATGAAAATAATATTTCAAATATCTTTTATAAAATAAAAATGTATGGAAACTTGAATGAGAATATAGAAATAAGAAAATGAATTTGTATTTGCTGAATTAGTAATTGCTGAAAGCATTCGATTATGTATCATTGTGTTCGTAGTAATTTAATTTCAACTTAATATGTTTCAATAATATCTAATATTATCTAATATGATGGCTGTTGATATGAAATGTCTGCTTAAGATGCTTAATTGTTAGTTGATTCTATCCTTTCAGTATTCGTTCACTCATTTCGTCTCGTTGAAATATCATTAATTAGCTTTTATTTTTTGGAAAAACATAAAGAACATATTAATGATCATGTTCATTTCTTCCATATTTATTTGTAAATGTTGAAAAAAATAAGATTATGCTATCGTAAGATTTACGATATCAAAGCCTTCTTCCGTAAAAGCGTTATAATATAAATATTATATAAGCATTGTAATATAAATTTGAAAATAGAAAATTTATTAATTATTTTTACTAATTAATATACATGTAATAAATTATTAATTAATTATAATATAATATATATATAAAATATGTATATATATATATATATATATATATATATATATATTTATTGGCTTTGAAGGATAAATGATCAAATATAAAGAAACAAAATTATTTGAAGTAATAAATTGGTGTTGCTTTTAGTGATAATCTTGGTGATTTTGTTTTATATCTTTTTCGATTAATGAGTGAACGCTGTCATTTTAAGTTGTTTCTAATAAAAAATTTCTGGGCAATGGAATTAATATTCTAAATTTTTTTTATTGATGTTAATAGATTGTTTAATGTATTTATTATACTATTATTATTATATATTATTATATTATTTCTTTGTTGTTCCATGCAATATTAATATCAATATTATTGATCTTTATAAAATGGCCATAATTTGGCATGAATTTTATCTCAATAATTTCAATAGTTTTCGGTTTTTTAATTTTTTAATTAATAATTTAATTTTTTAATTTATTAACAATAATTTACAATCATGTGTCAGTTTTCTTGTGTTGTTTGAAAAAATACAATAGTAATGATTATTTTGTGATGATAATTTTAAAAATCACATTTGCGTGTCAAATGATTTGTGATAAATTACCGGAGAAACGATAAAGAACTCGACCTCCGCAATATTTTAATATAATCGCGAGAGTCTATCCTTGGAAATAGCGATCGTTTTCTTTTATCTTTTTTTATATTTTTATATTTTTTGTCAGGAATAATTAGAAAACATATGCAAAACATATATTATCAAAATTCATCGTCATTTAAATTTAGAATTTAGAAATCATCAAAGAAATCAGTATTTAAATTTCGAAATTCAGTTATTGTGTTAATAATTACGAGTTTTCACTGAATTCTTTTTTCGTTTTAAATTCTATGCACTTGTCCAAAATGAAAATAATATTGAAATATTTATATTAAGTACAATTTCATTTTTGGTACATAATAAATCAACAAATTTTTATACATTCAATGTAAATATTTTTATATAATCTAATATAAAATTGATTTTATAATATATTTTTAAAATATTATTATAATAAATAACAAAATAATAAACAACTAAAATAAAAAAAATTGTTGATTTATTATGTATCAAAAATAAAAAATCTGCAGATTTATTGTTTGAGTAATATAAACTGAAAGAAAAGGCATTTTTAATTGATATATAATCAAATGTTTTGCAAATTTAAATTATCAAATATAAATATAAATAATTGAATTAATGAATATATTTATTAGAGCATTCAATAAATAAAAAGAAAAATGCAATATTAAAGAAAATTAATAAAAACAAAGTATAGAGTATATTATCAAAATTATTATTAACAAAAAATAATTTTTAATATTTTAAACTACTTGAATCATTTTGATGAAATTAAATGTCATTTGATTATCTTAATCAATAACAGGAGTTGCAATGCTAAGTTTTTACGTAACTAAATTACGGATAAAAAATTTTTTTAACATAAAGAAAAATCTCACATATATATAATAATAATTATTATTATATCAGATATTACTACGATAACAAATATTAATATTGACGTTGAATAAACAATTGATGTTTACATTGCTTTTTTATTATATTTATAATATATATAATATATTATAATATGCAGGATATTCGTGATATTCGTGGGAAAATCATTGAAGAATCTATATGAAAAAAGAATAAGTGAGACGATAATTTGTAATTTCCGTTATTATAATTTTCGCATTGCACAAATTCGAAAAATTGCTTAAACATTTATTATAGCAGGATGCAATGATATGATTGTATTAATTCAATATATATATTTTGATCAGCTACGATATGTTTGTATGAATAATTGATAATTGGTATACATATTCAATATAATATCCAAATATCTAAATATTTTTATTAATATTTCGAAAATTAGTAATGAAAATTAGTAGAAATTATAATAATAAATATATCCGAAAAATTTTTTGATATTTGAATTTTATCTTTTTCTTTTGTCTTCAATTTTTCAAATTTTTGTTGCATTACTTCGTTACATGATTATGCAAATCATATATGTATAATCACAGAATAAAATACAGGTGAATCATCGATTCATTTATTTCATATTTAAGATTCTTAATTTGAAAAGATTTATTAGTTTATTTTCATGCTATTGCAAATATATTTTTTGCTACTTAACGTAATTGTTAACACAATAAATAGCGTAATAAAATTGTTTTTGTTCTTAGTTTTTGCTCTTTAATAAATTTCTACTTTAATGATACCGATCATTAACTAATTATGAAAATACGATCATATTATATATAATAATATATACGATTACGCAGCAATCATATTATCTTAGAAGAAAGAAAACTTCCTCTGAGTACACTCAACATTTACAATTCTTTACTCTAGTAGAAATATAAGTGGACAGACAATATTAACTATTATAAAGACGTTTTATTATTTTAGTTATTAATTTAGTTGCTCGCGAAACTAATGATGGACAAATTGTGGTTATTTTTGTTATTACAATTGTTATTTGTGTTATCTGCATCTCAAAAAACAAATTTAGATTCACCGATAAATTTAGAAACATATCGAATATTTCGTAATTGGATTCTCCGAAATTTCGGTAAATATTCAAATAATTCAATTATTTTATGTTCTAGTGTGTTTTATTTTTATTAAAAAAATAACATGTTAATTTAAATCGATTGAAAAAAGTGAAAGAAAACAAATGTTGTAAAAATAATAAATAATGTAAAGAATAGTGTAAAAATAATATTAGTATAAATAGTGTAAATAATGTAAAGAAGAAAGAAAAATGATAATTTCTCTTTGATATATTATTTTATAAATAATAAAAATTATAAATATAAATATAAATAATAAAAAATTATGTTGATATTTGGAACGTCTTGAGAATATAACATTTTATAAGAATGAGATGATTATTAAAATGGATAAATTTTATTAATAATAATATTTGATTATTTTAAATTATTATAGTATTTTATTTATATTTTTTAATTGAGTTTAGTTTTTAGTTTTCATTTCATTAAAAAACATTTCGATAATTCGGTATTTTGAAAATAATTTCTTTTTCTTTAAAAGCTAAAAATGAAAGAGTTCGGGCGCAGCATGAAGGAAAACTTCAACAAGAAATTTCGGAAGATATTCCATTTCCTTGCAACGTGACAAGTAGTTGAACAAATTTTCATTATTATTAATATTATTAATACTATAATATATATTATATAAAAATTTAATATTCTTTTAATATTAATAAATAGGAATATGCTGGAATTTATATATATAATTTATATATATTAATTAATAGGAATATAGGAATTTAATATTAATATTAAATTTAATATTAATTTTTTAAATATAATATTCTAAATATATAAAATCATATTCTTAAATACTATCTACTAATATAATAATACAATTAAAAATACTACATTCTCTATAAATATTATCATTATTATATTTTAATACTTTAAATTTAATCTCTGTAGATGGTAAATCTCCTATTGTCCCTGATTCAGTTCATCGTTTAAGACCAGGAGATATAGATGTTATTGCTGCGATGGGTGATTCCTTGACAGCTGGAATTGGAATTTTTGCGACTAACTTATTAGAATTATCTATTGAAAATAGAGGTGCATCGTTTACTATCGGTGGTGAAAAGTCTTGGCGAACGTATCTAACATTGCCAAATATTTTTAAAGTATGTTTGTTATTTATAGAAAATGATATAATAAAATATTATTTTAATAAAATATTTTTACCTGCAATTCGAAATTCAATCATTAAATAGATTGTAGTGTAGTATATATATGTAATTTTTGAAACTACATATATATACTCTTTAATTAATAATAAAACACATGAAAATATAAATTGAAATGATTAAATATTAAATTTTTATATTATTATTACATAAAATACAAAATATAAAACACATGAAAATATAAATTGAAATGATTAAATATTAAATTTTTATACATTTTGTATCATATCTCAAAATTTATTTTTAATGAATTTATATATTGAATTTAATGTAAAAACTTTATGTCAGGAAAAGATAAAAAATTATAGTTTTTTCATAGATAGATTTTTTTTTACATATAGGAATTCAATCCCAGATTAATAGGCTATGCACTTGGAGATGGTCAAACTTATGAGTCAACTTCGCAATTGAACGTCGGTGAAATTAACGCAATATCGAGAGATATGCCTTTCATGGCTAAATATTTAATCACTAGAATGAAACGTGATACAAGAATAGATATAAAGAAACATTGGAAGGTAATATTTTAAATGATAAAATATTATGAAAATCATTATCGCTAAAAATGAATTATAACATATATATATATATTTATAAAAACTTATGAATTTATTAAAACTATAATATTTAGTTTTTTATGATAATCAATATAATATAATAATAATATTCGTATTAGTAGATTATTATTTGCATGATTATGATGATTAATATTATTATTACTAATAAAATTATTAATACTATTAATTTTATTATTTATGAATACAGATATGGTTATTGAAATTTATTAATGAACGTTAACAAAATTGTATATGCATTTATTAACAAATTGTATATATACATTCTTAATTTAGATTATGATTTATGACAAAATATATTATACGAAACATTATACGAAAAACATTTCACTTAAAATGGTAGAAAGTCATTTAAATTCTAATATAATAATTTCAATTTAGTGCATTTTTTATTTATTAATTATATGATTAATTGAACTCCACTACATCAATTTAAACTATTTGAATAAATTTTTTAAATAAAATATCTATTATTATGTAACAAAAATATATGAATTATTAAAGTATTCATTAATATTTTGCAGTTCATTTCATTGTTCATAGGAGCCAATGACTTTTGTTCTCATATGTGTGTACCTTCTTCTCCGTGGTCTATTTTAGAAAAGCACAGAATTGATTTAATCAATACTTTTCGAATATTAAGAGATAATTTACCACGTACTTTGGTATCACTTATAATAGCGCCCAATTTAAAAGAATACGTTATTACAAGCAAAAAAAGAAATTTATTGAAGTGCTATATAGTCACTACTATCGGATGCTCGTGCTTATTTGGTTTACAATTCCAAGATCGGAGACAGGAATATTATGAAGTAATGAGCAGGTTTGTATAGTTTTAGTTTTAATTAATTAAATATAATTTAATTTAGAAATTGTATTTCTTTTTAATAGTTTTTAATTAAAAAATTTAATTTTTCATAAAAATTTATAACATAATAATATAATAAAATATTATGTTATCTTCATTTTTTCATGGAAATTTTAAAATTATTATATAAAATATATATAAAATTCTCTTTTCAAAATATATAAATTTCTTACACTTCTATTTTGTAGATGGCAAAAATTGCAAGAGGAAGTTGCTAATTATCCAGAATTTAATAGAAAAGACTTTACTATTATTGTTTCACCAGGCATTAGTAATATTAAAATTACGCTTCCCGAAGGCGAATCCAGTGATCTATCGTATTTTTCTGCTGATTGTTTTCATATAAGTCAGAAAACACATGCAATCTGTAAGTAAGAATATAGAGCTACATAAAATAATCTTTATTATTCGTATAAATATTATTATATTTATTTTTAGTATTATTTATTTAGTATTATTATAGTATTATTATATTTATTTTAGTTGCGAATGCTTTATGGAATAATTTATTACAACCAATTGGAAACAAAACTACTACTTTACTTCCAGTATTTGAAACATTTTTATGTCCTACTTCCAAAAGACCATATCTAGTGACACGTGAAAATTCTCAGATATAATAATAAAAATTAAAAATAAAGATAAATTGTGTAAATGTAAATTTTATATTAATATAAATTTATAGTATAATACAAAATATATTATGGCAGAGGAATATTTTATATTCTGCCAAATAAATAAAATTATATAATCTTGAATCATATATTCTATTCATTTTTGAAATTTTTATTCTTGAAATTTTATTTATGAATTAATTATTAATGTAATATATTGTTCGTTTCAATATGAATTAATATTTTTTTTTAAGAAACTTTAGTATTAAATATTGAAAATCCGGGCAATCGTATGTGATTTCTCTCCTCATTTTTGAGCTTTCTCAATATATATTCCTATAAATATGAAAAAAAAATGAGATAGAGATAGAAGTTTATATTATTATATATTTATATTCGCAATCACGCAAGACAAATTACGATAGAGTATATGAAATGATTAATAGTGGAATCAGTATATTGTTAGTAGAAGAAGAGAGAAGACAACAAAAGAAAAAAAAAATTGTTTAGATTTGAAAAATAAAGAAAATTTTATATAATTATATCAAATATTGTGATCGCACATTGAATTTTTATACTTTTTCAACTATTCAAATTCAAAAATTTTATCTAGCATTCATAATTATATAGCAAAATACAACACATTATGAAAAGTAAAATAAAAATAGTTTTTTAAATCGTCTTCTTTTAATAAACAATTCTTCTATTGATATTTCTACTTTTGATATTTTTATTTTTAATATTTTAAATTATGTTTTCTCCTATTAATATTTGTTAAAAATGTTCTAGAAAAAATATTATATACAAATGTCAAAAAATTTTTGTTTAAATTGAAAATTAAAAATAACGAATATGTTCAATAAGAATAAATTCAGTTATATTGAAGATATAATCATTTTTTATTTTATGTTAATAATCATAATTAATTTACTATTGATTTTTATATTGTATGCAATATTTTCCTTAGTATTTATTATATATTTATGAACTGCTTTTTAAATATCTCTGTTCAATTTTTATACATACTTCATAACAAAAATATAAATGATAAACTATTTAACAAAATCAAATCCATCTTATTTATCAAATAATTTCAAATGTATTATTATATAGTTTTCTTTTCTTTATACATATTAATTAACCAATGGTTTCATATTTGTTCAATCAATTGTCATTAATTTATTTTTTTTAATATCAATATTATCTATTAATGCAAGTATTTCTCAAGTTATAGTGATGATAAGAAATATAAAGAATTCATATAAAAAATCGGAATACCCGAAGAAAGGAAGAAATCATGTACAATCATTATTTTAATTTAATTAGAAGGAATAAAATATATATAGTAATGCGATATATTAAAATTGAATATGCAATTAAATAATGGAAAATTATGTTATATGCTATTATTTATATATAATTTTATCATATAATATTATTACATAATATAATATATTACATAAGGTATGTATCTTATATAGGATCCCAAAAATAGGAATATTTAACTGGAGATTTTTGAGCTAATTTCAAGATATATTTTTTTTTTACAAAAAGTTTCGTTATGCTTTTGTTAATAAATTATTAATAAAAAGTATTAATTAATCATATAGACTAATCAGTACAGTAGTATTAGCTATGTATCGTATTGGCCGATATCAGCTAATTCAACAAATGTAATGCAACATTTCTGATAGCGTTAGCACAAAGAATATTTACAGTAGAGCAACAGCACAAGTCCATAGATACTCTGCAAGAAAATGACCTGAATAATAATACAAGAAGAAAATCTTTCTCTTCTATAATGGTGTATGAGTAGGATATATACTTATGCAACTTCATCTCAAAACAGACGGTATTCCGCCGCCAATGTAGCCATTGTAAAAATCGTCAACGGTCAACGGCGAAGCTATGCATTCTACACACGAAGATAGCGGATTATCATCGGATCCAAACAACAACCAAGGAGAAGCAAATCAATCTTCGGTTCATCTGGAGGAAAGCGCAGACGTTATAGAGAATTTTATGGAATTGGGGTTCAATGTCAATGTGTTAATGAGGTATATTACAATGTTGAAGTCGCCAATGATTTCAAGACACGTTAAGAACAAAGCCACGACATATGAAGCGGTCAGATAGTTTGAATTTTATTTTCAATAATCTAGCAATGATTTACGAGCAAGTTCAATTTCTTAACGTTTTCCAGATCTTCAATCTAACGAAGATATAATAGCAACTTCCTATATAGGCCACTTCACATTTGCGCGCCTAATATAAGATTCATCTTTCGAAACCGCTTTTCAACGCGATTATTGTTCCGCTAATGTTCTCCTAGTTTACATTTTCACGAAAAATAATGATTGGAAAATCTAAGGCTTGCCATAGTCTTTTAGATCAGATCAATTAAAATAGAATTTAGATCAAATAGAATTTAGAAACGATACAATTCATATCAGATTACAGTAGAATTATTATATAATTAGTTGCAAAATAATTAAATAATTAACCACTATTCGTTCGCTCAAAGCTCATAATATAAAAGATTGTACATTTGTACGACAATAGATCCTTCGAGTAATATCCTCAATTCAGATATTCCCATTTGTGTAATATTCAAAGTCATTCAGTTTAGACTTTAATAGTAATATTGTAATTAAATAAATATATATATTCATGTATTAAAATGTATATATATTATATATATATATATATATTTTATAAACCTTCAATATTATAGTCATGATATTTACGAATAAAGTCTAAAATAAGTAAAAGAAGTATTAAAATGAAAGAATCATTTACAAAAGAATCCTTTTCATCGATTTCAAATGATGAAATATTATCAAAATATTGATTCTGAATAATTTTTTTTTATATATATTATCATCGCTTGACTTTAATTTTCGAGATATATAAAAAAAACGAGCAATAGAAATAGAAAGAAATCTATTGTGAAATTTTCATGAAAAGATTTTTGCTTCCCATTGATTTCGAATTTTCTAGAATCCGAGCGTACGATTTCTAAATAAGAAATTTATTTGACGAAATTTGCGAATGTAATAAGATCATTAATTATCATATGATCATAATGCATCATATTAGATACATATATGTTGTCGAAATATTTTACATAAATTGTATTATAAATTTAAAAGTACTTTTGTAGATGATTTTCCTTTTATATTTGATGGATATAAAAGCTTCAAGTATATTTTTGATTTAAATACATGTATATATATTTCAGTACATGTTATTTTAACTACACAAATATATGTATACTTTTGTAAATAATTACCTTTTATTTTGATACTTTTTTCAAAATCACTCATCTGATTTAAAATTTATTTATAAATATTACAATTGTAACATTGAACGATTATATATCCAAAAAATTTATATATATATATATATTTTTTATTTTTTGATATCTAAAGTTTATTCAATTACAACATCCAATCCAACAAATATAAATCTATAATCTTTGTTGCACGCGATTTATTTCAATCATTTTAATATTGTGAAGTCTATTACTAACATTTTTTTTGTCATTTTTTTCAACAACTAATGCAATTAACAAATGGATTTACTTGATTAATAATTTCATAATCTAACCGACTACATAGTCATGTTTCTCCAGCTCGTAACATATGTTATGTTAACCATTTTATTTTTAAAATATTTTATTATTATATTAATTATTATATAATAAAATTGTTAAAATAAATAATTAAAGATTTTTAAATGTAGAAATAGAATTATTTATAAAATATTTTGCAAAACATTTTTTATTGCCATCCTTCTTCAGATGATGGTGGTGGTGGTGGTCTGAAAATAAAATGTTTTGTTATTGTAAGGAGAATAAATTATTTTTTTTATATTATAATTTTTTTATATTATAAAAAATATTATAGAAAAATAATTCTAGAAATTCAAATAAATATAAATATTATATGAAACTTATTTATTAAACTACAAACTTAATATTAAGACAAAAAAAGAATTTATTTTGTCTCGTTTTATCTAACGTAAAATTCACTTGAGCATAACTTAATAAATAACTCCCAATTGATATAAATTTTTATGTTTGTTATGAGTTTTATAATAAATTCAAAGATATGCTATAAATATTTTTTTATATATTCTATATAATGGATATTTATTTACTTCTAATTTATTCATTTGTATTAATTCATTTGTAATTGTATAATTTTCTATTATTGTAGTAAATTGTATTATTTTATTTAAACAATTTAATTGATTATGGTAATTAAGAAAAATAAATTAATATTTTCTAAAAAAAAATTCTTAAATTATGAATATTATAAATACGAATATTTGAATCATTTTAAAGAAAGATCAATATATATTATATTTATATATAACAATATATTATAACAATATATTATATTGTTATATATATTTTTAAGATTTTTTAAAAATCTTTAATTATTTTTTTAATAAATGATTAAGTAAAGTAAATCTTTTATTTATTACGTTTATGTCTTTCTTAAATAATTAAATTTAAAAATAATATTTATATTAAAATAATTAGAAGATTTAAATATTTATTTTTATTTTATTTATAAACAATATTTTATTTATAAACAATTATTTTGGAATAAAATGTATGCTTACTCGGGTGTATTCCAATTTTCTTGTTGGTCAGGTTCAGTTGGCGGATCCTCTCTGAAAAAACACATAATAATTAATAATTATATAAAATTATAGTTTTATTCATTTATTTAAAAATAAAAAATTTCTAGAAAATTATATTATTCATATTATAATATATATATATAATAGTATTCATATTATAATATATTTGTATCAATAATTGTATCTTATTTAAATATATTTTTGCAAAATTGTTGCAATATTATTACATCGAAAACAATTCATTTGTTCGCAAGCATTTCTTCTCGCAAGATTTATTTATTTAACAACTTATTCGGAGAAATTCTTCATATGAAAATTCTTTATTATTATCTTCTTTTTCTATTATTATCAGTCGCCGATCTCCATTGAGTTTAAATAAAGAATGATGTTATCTGAGAAGATTACCGTTTTTGAAAAGAGTTTAATCAATACTTATAATTATATATTTTTGATATAC